AAACATTTAAAATAATCATTATTGACACCGTCGCTGAGGTTGAAGGTCAACCTATGTCCTACAAAGTATGATACAATAAGTAAAGAGGATTTCATTATGCAATTTTATTAAATAATTAAATAATCAATCGGATACCAGTTATTATATATAATTCAGGCAGTACCTGAACACTCACTGAGAAGATTTGACAAAAGAAGTTAGATTTGTATTAAATATGGTTTAAACATTACCGGAATATTACTGTCAAATATTCTGGCTCCATTTTAGTCATGGTATAAGTGCTACCTCGATATTTGCTTTGGATCTAATAGCCTACATGCGTTGACGAATTTAGAAAATGACAAGGGCGCGCATTTTCCGAGCGTTCACAGGAAAATACATTTTCCTTTTTTTTCGTTTCCATTCTTTCCTACCACGAAGTGATTTATTTTTAATTCCGGTCCGTTTTCGTATATACTCGTATATCGTTTGATATTGATCTGGGACCCCTGTCGAGCGACCAACTCCAATAAAAACAGCGGAACAGGGGAAAAGCTCTTAAATATATTTTGCTCACGTGTTAGACTGAGAGATAGTATGCATTTCGATGTCAAAAATAAAACTATTAAAAAATAAAATCTAAGTTATATGCACTGCAGCATCCATCATTCGACTTGTTTGCCTACAGTTTACAATTACAATGAAACTACACCAACTAACGTTTATATGCTGAATTAGGTCTGTTTGCTATCCGTCTCTGGGACCTTGATGAATCGTACACCACGTCATGCTTATAAGCAATCATCAGTACAGTGTAAGTCTTGGCTCGGATACAGATAAGGCAAGCAGAGTCCATGAGGTCTTCTGAAAATCTTAGTAGATAGGGCAAGCAAGACGCGCGTCGATAGTGAAGCCTGTTTCACATCCATCATTGTAATGCTAAACGCTCAGTTTTTTTTAGAACGCGACTTAACCGTGTCTGTGCGTCTCTGATAGTAAGAACGAAAATATGTCGTCAACAATGATAGACAACCCCACAATCAAGGGAAACGGTGTCCACCATGCTGTCAAAATGGCGCGCCATGCAAAGGTTGCACAAACACTAGCTGAATGGGATTTGTTTGCTTTCCGTCTCTGTTTCATGCTTGTCAGCAATCATCAGTACGAATTGCGTCTTGGAGACAAACCGAAAAAGAGAGAGTGCACCACCTTATAGTGTCTGATCCCAAAATAATTAACATACACAAATACTCACAAGATTTTTAGTGAATCGATAACTACCTAATGTGTATCGATATCAAAACAGAAGGTTTCCTAACCGATGGAGGAACCCAAATTATCCATTCATGCTTTCAAAGGGAACGGGTATTAATATTAGAGTGAGCCCATTTGGCTCCGGGTCTCTCCTGATTTACGGTGTAGGGTGTTTGAGTGCGAAACGCATGCTTCTGGCATATACTGGGTTGATTCAAATTTGCCCCTTACCATTAGAACATCGGAAATGGTACGAAACAGGTGATCCATTGAATGGGGACAAATATGCGCATTTATGAAATTAAGAAAATGGCACATAGGAAGTTCAGAGTTCTGCCAAAGATTTTCCTAGCTTTGAGCTGGAATTTCAAAACAAATAAGATCAAAGCGTGCTCAAAAAACACTTATTTTTTCAAAATGATTATTGTTTTATGATATTAATATACGACATATATTTTTGAAACCAGAATCGAATACTTCCTACTTCCTACCTTTGCAACACTCCAATATGGCGGTAGACAAGATAATAAACATCAGATTGCAATTCTAAATATGGCACCTTCTAGAGAAAAAAGTGTGAACTTTAATGCACAATTTATGTTGAAGTCCGACCTCAAATAAAGTCAAAAAAATAAAAACCACTTTGGGAAATTCCGATATTCTATCCATCTTCGGAGATACTTTGAATTGCAAAACTTCCTGGTGCCATTGTCTGGCTTACTAAATGTGCAACTTTGCTAGCATTTATCCGTCTGTGTATCTCTCACTGTTTCCGAGATCTCAATTTCGAGGGTTCAGATTTAAACTCACCACGTGATAACTTTGATAATTTCAACGTAGCTGTTAATAAATAATGTGTTTGTTTTGAAATTAAAGTCTTGTGCAGCAAGCGTTGCTTTCATCGTAATAATACCAAGGTTACCATCGCGTTGACTTCAGTCCTAACCGCTTCACGTAACTACAGGAGGGACCCGATACTAAATGGCGATCTGGTTATTATTTGAGTGTTTCTTACCTTCGACACTTATTATCAGCACATACATGAATTTTTAAGATAAGACAAAACAAAATGCATTTAGTACGTGGAAATCAGCCCGTTCATTGTCACGGAAATATCATACAGTTCCATACAAAGGCTTTTATAAATTTACATTTACTCTTAATTACTCTTGCATCGAATCCGTTAAAGCCTGTTGCTGTCACTGCCCACTTTCCGTAAACTCAGTTTACATCTTTGCTAAAATCGTTTAGTCCTTCGAGCCGAATCATTCAAGTTCCCTGGAACTACGCCTATGTGTAGATCTAAGTATTGATCGACCAGCCAAAGATTGCTAGGGACGAAAGGGGGAAATGCGATGAAAAAACCTTACCATTAGACGATTTTATATGGAGTCATAGGCGGAGATCGGAGAGACTTGAATTATTAATTGAATTTATATTTTATTACAACTGGTAGTATTAATATTTTTTTGCGATTCATAATGACGTGATACCAAACATACATTATAAGAAATAAATATACACAAACACTGAATATTGAGAACAAAATAAATATATTTTTTAGGCAACAAGTAATATTCCTATGTACGCATTATGATTGAACAGCAAAACAAATTATGCATTCTTCTAAAATAGAATACAACAAGTCAAAAATATCTGACTGAATAGAAAAATATAGGAAAACAAAAAGTAATTTCTTGATGAAATAACCCATAAACAACACATAGAATTAGACTTTCTACTGAGATACTAAAAGCCACAAACCAATAGTATAATAAATGAATATCTAAAAATTCTAAAAGGTAGCCAATCTAGTATAGTTTCAATCCTGATTAGAGTCATGATCACTGTCTGAGGAACTGTCATTGCTATCACTTTCACCTCCTATGTTGATTATTATTTCTTCCTGTATTTCTTGAATGAGACTGTCTTTTTCCCAATATTCATCTTCAATTTTTATAACATGTCCAATAACCTTTTGCCAGTCACTGGCACTTACTGAAGCGATGGCCTTATTAGAAATTTCATCTAGTTTTTTTATAGTAAATTCGCCGCTTGTATTATGGCTTCTAATGAAAAATTTTACTTGTGCCCAAATCATCTCTATGGGATTAAACTGACACATATAGGGTGGCGTTCGAAGTGGGGTGTGTCCGAAACTTCTTATTAAATTATCTATCTTATAATTTTTCTCATCAGATGGTGGCCTATGTAGACAAGCTATTTCATAAAGCTCCATTTTTTTAGCATTAGGATCATGCTCTATACCTTTTTTGCTCAACCACGTGATGATGTCTCTTTTTAGAGAAGATCTAGTTGGAGGCTTGTCTTCCAAAGCTGAATGGTAAGGTGCATTATCCATTATTATAATACTATTAGGAGGAATGTTAGGAAATAGTTTTTCAGTAAGCCACTTCGTGAAATTTTCTTGGTTCATTTGACCGTGATAATCACCAGTGGCACAGCCAGCCTTGAAAATGAGACAGGCTCCAGGAACAAAACCATCTTGCGAACCCGCATGAACAATTATAAGTCGTCCTGGAAATGAATAAATAGCCTCATTTTAGTGTTATTTTAAGTTTGCCAACACCTTTTTGAATCACTATGTATAAAAAACATATTTTTGAGAAAAAAATACTTGCAAGGGATTATGTATTCAATTAGACAAATTAAATGAGCACTTATTAAGAATATTCCAAAATTGAGAAAAATGTATAATAAGCAAAATCGAGGTGAAAGAAACTTTATTACCTGTAGAACTTATATTGCTCAGGACACCCATAATTTCTTCGCTTTGCCAGCATTTCTTGAAAGTGAGGTCATTATCAACCCAAGTTTCGTCCAAATAAATAATATGCCTTCCTTCTTCCCGGAACTTTTTAATAGACCTAAGATACTTGTATCGCCAATGTAAAATACTGGGTCTTTCCATTAGTAATTTCCTTTTGTTGTGGCATTTACGCCAGTAAAATCCTTTTGCTTTTAAAAGCAGCCTCAACGATTCTTTACCAAATGGAAATTCCATTTCTTCCTTCAGTTTGATTAGAAGTTTACTACAAGTAGGTACCACTTTAAAATCACAGTAAAATTTTTCTATCATTCTCCGAATAATGGAAAAATCGACTCCATCAATTTTTTGGATCACAGAAGGGCGTGATCTCTTTTTTCCGGGAGAAGCTAAAGGCTGTGTGGAGGTTGCATTTTGCCTGTCTTTATCTTCTTTTCTAATTTTACTTATAGTTCGTTCACTAACACCCGTATAATATGCCGCCCTTGCATTTCTAGCTACCAGTGGATAAACGAAAGTATTGTTAGCCGCTTCTGCATCGCAAGCACGTATCACGTTTGCTATTATTTCCCTTGCCTGGCTGTGAATAACTTTCCCATGCTTGAATTCCATTATCACCACTAAACAGTAAATTATATTTTCAAAGTATTTGCCAACTGCCTACGCCTATGGGAGTAGGTTTATAAATGACCGTGCCATCGGCACGTTATTCTAGTTTCAGATAAGATAAGAGTTTTGGACCAATCAGCGACCGGATGTTTACCTGCGGCCTGGGTTTTCCAGCTACATTGCCAAATTCAGCGGAACAATTCTATATCTTAAATATGTTAATATGTATGGACCGCATTTTATGTAGAACATCTGACAACTTCGCAATTTTTTGTCCGCATTCTTTCGGCTTGCAATCTTTCGCTGGTCCAACAGTAGGCTTCGTCAGACCTACGACCGTCCTTTGTGCGCTCAGCACAGGTAGAATGCCTCTCTCTCTCTATCGCATATATACAATATGTTACTCAGTCGTGTCACGATGTGAACTTGAAAACTAGAAACAGAAATACCAATTAGTGAAACTTTGTGTACGTATCAGTTGTACGTGAAACAAATGAAAACAACATTGTGATAAGTACGAACAATTGCAGTGTGATAATAATGGATACAGACGAGGATGCCGTGGCTTTGGAACCATTGTAAGTTCGTATTTATTTTTAGATAAGCTTGGTATGTGTTCAATGAAAGAGAGGTTATGGTCTTTGTTTACAAATGTAAACGGGTCACACACCTGGGCGGACCGACGAACCAGCCGTTGCACCTGTTCTGAGATTAATGTGGGCTAATATTGAGACTTTGAACTTGCGAAGGTGTATCATATCAATATTCCTGGTTTATTATTTCTATTAATTTAATGTTCACGTATGTAAATTAATAAAAAAGCAAGCTGATTGTGTGTTAGAAGCGAGAACATTAATTAATTAACAATCGTTTTAATTAATTTATGTGTCGATATCTGACGTAAAGGTTAGGCGACGTGAAGGAGATCGAATAAGCAATGAAAATTCCCCAGTCAAGAGCTATTGGTTTGCTCTCAAGATTTAGTTCCGCCCCTGCTTTTCAATATCTTTACATATAAACAGTTGCTCTTCAAGTAGTGGAATATAATTTTCTGTCCTTCTCATCCTGCTTCCAATGAAATCAATCCCTGTCACTTCTATTACATTCTGAGACAATCCAATGTATCAACTGAAGATTGGAGAAACAAATTTGTCAAGCAATCTGGAATAGTTAACAAATAGTTACTATTACCATTATCTGAAATCCAAAACCTCGTGACATGGACGTTCTTGATTCATTTTTTGCAGGTAGATTGCAGTAACTTAAACTAGAAGTTCCAGGTTGATCAGGCGGTGATGTAAGTGTAAAGTCTCTAGAGATGTTTATGCTTGAACTTGGAGAATGACATTCACTAATTGTTTCTTCTACGCTAGATATACACTCACTTTCTCATTCTTGTTTGAAGGAATCTTGGGACGAGGAAGCCGAAAAATCAACTTGCCTGTTAGTTTCCTCACGTGTAAAAAATGATGTTAGTTTTGGTAACTAGCTGGCATTTTCTTTTTGAGCTGCAGCTTCTTTCCTTTTCTCTGAACCACTCAAATATATTCTTTTCGACATACTGATAAAGAGATCATACGCAATTCTTTACTATTTTTGCTGGATAACTTCACTGAGGACGAACTAGGAAAGCAGAAAAATAAACCGGGCCAAAAGTCGTAAACAGGGACGATCGTCTATCTCTTTCTGACATGTTCTGATCTGATTCAGGCTTCCTTCCAACAAAGCCGTGTCACATATTATACAGATGCGACACCTGCTGTCGGTCCCTTTGATCTTCGTTTCCCCCAACTGCTTACCACATTTCCCGCTTATGTTCATTAGCGCCCGGAGGATTTTTTCTTAGGGGGTTGATACGCGTTATTAGCAAGACGTCCACGAATGTCATATGCCAAACAACATAATCAAGAAATTTATTTGTGTTCATTTACCCACATGCATTTTGGCGAGATAATTATTATTTTTTGAAAAGCTATTTATATATTTGTATAAATGTCATAGCAACACAAATTCCAACAAACGCATAGGACTTAAGTTGGCGTTGATAGAACCTGATTTTTGAGAGCGTCACCTCTGTATAATAACTATGTGGCTGTGTACCATACACTGAATCATAATGAGCGTGCGCAGTACGTACACGTATATTGGAACAAAGCCTCTGAAAGTAAGCCAATCTATCCCGCAACTACGCGCGTCATCTCGATGAGTACAGCTTAAATAATACGTTATATTGTGTGGATGTGGCTGTATATGCATACCTGCATCAGTACAGTTGGATTATAACGTCTAGATGGCACTGTTATCGACTACTTTTATGAATGGAAGTATTAGTAGTCAACAGCCAACACATTGCATATAACCATTAGACTTTTGGGAGCCCCCCATCATGACGACGCCCTGGGCCGGGCCCCTGTGTCAAGACGGCCCTGATTGTGGGGCAAAGATAGACAGTATCTGAAGATCCCGGAACCCTCAGCTTTACGGGGTACCCAAAGTAGCGGGATGTTCCCCTGTATATATGGCTATTTTTTGCGTTACTATCGTTAGCATCGGCAACTTTCGGTGAACGTTGTCAGTTAAATAGTTAAAGTACCTAGACCTGCACTGGTATTATGTAAAAAACCTATAAAATGTCATCTTGCAGACTAGGTAGTTTTTAGGGTGCAAACTGAAGTTATCAATGTTTGGCTCTGATGTGACGTAAACTCTGGTTCAGAGATGGCATTACCGGAGGTCTAAGGTGAGGCATAGTGAGGATAAATACACTTACTTGAGATTCAAGGCTAGAAATCAGTTGCGCATACACATTTTCTTATCCATTCTGGAAATTACATATGCAAATTTGCTGAATTTAAAAAATGAGAGAGATAAGAAATAATTATGTTCACTGTACAATGTTGAATTACAAGTCATATACAGGTATATGCTAACAGTAATTACACACAACGCGGGCGCGGTGATGATTTCCCGTAATTCTCCTCAGTTTTTCGTAATTTATAACTTTGAAAATAACCTCTCTTCAGAAAGAACAACACAAATAACCCGTCTGGCACAGCTAATAGATATACTTCACTGGCAGCATAGTCAGTAATAATTTTCTCACATATCACAAATTTTATACACATTCAGACCAATACAATCATCCAGATGCTACTCAACCAAACTTTCGTTCTTTCACATTTTAAACACTACAATGTGTAATCTACAAAGTAGCTGTCTGCAACCAACAATGCATACTTGTAAAGAGACGAGCATGCCGTATCGTTCATTCGTTTTTCGATAGATGGACACTTTGGATCGCGCTCACACGGTCCTGGTAAGCAAACGTGGACTGACAGATTGCACCCTAAAAACTACTTAGTCTGCAAGTTGACATCTTGTAGTTTTTGGTACGATTTATAGGTTTTTTACATATTACCCATGCCGGTATGTCGGGTCGTTATTTGTTCTGTATTTTATTTACAATTCCTGGGGCACAGGGTCTCCCCTCTCTATACATGTATCAAATCGAACGACCAAACAATTCATCATATATGCTCCACTTCTTGTACTAACGTGCTTCTATTTTTTGTCTGGAATGCCTTCCAATAATTTCCCCATCTCCCCAGATCATTTAATATAATATCCCTGGTTGGATGAAATGTATATAAACATAATGAATATAATCACATACTATAAACTTCTTTTCTTACTCACCATATTTTGCCTCCAGTCATTAGGAGCGTTCAGCCAAAGAAAGCCGGCCCAGAAGTGCAGCGTTTTTATGCTGAAATAGCAGTAGCCATTGGTTAAATGTGTCAATTTGACAGCAGTTCTTACTTAGCTGTCAGATTTCTTGGTATGTTGCGAACTGTCAAAGCTATTCCGTGGCTAATGCTATTCAGACTCTGCTTTTTATCGTCCTTACGTCAGTTCGACTATATTTCCGGTATGCGTAAATGATTTATTTAACTATCTACATACAGTATGTTCCTATAAGTGGACTATTAACATACACATACAAATTACATCGGTTTTAAATGTAAAGAATATGCGGAAAAGCATTGCGTTCACCTACCTAAAGGAGTACATTCGCCGAGAAGATTCAAGTGTTGACCAGCCTTTTATCTCGTCTGTCTACTTGTTTGTCCATAGTTATTTTAAAATCCTGCATTAACTCTGCAAACATTCCAATTTCAATAACGGAATATTGCAATTAATCTAAAAAGTTTGTAATTTTTGATAACTGGTCTTGTAGCCTCATAATGTACGCATATTAATCATGCATTTGGACTTTGCGCTTGTCTCCAAGAATATCGACAAATCAAGCTTTGCGGATAAGCTTTGCGTTATTCCCATCAATATGGTCGATTCACTGATCAACAGCCAAAAAATATCCTAAATAAAATCAACAAAATATTACTATTTTTAATGTGCTAAAACCGGAATGAAACTTATTTTTTCAATATTAGTTCAAGGTTTAGAGATACGGTTATTATATGTGTTCCTGCTGTGATAGTGTTAATATACTGTAATTCACAAGAATGCACGTGCTACATTTTTATATTCGGCAAGGAAAGATGATGTAATCGGCATGATTGTGTTACGTTATACACACGTATACATTATATTGTTTTATATTAGCCATTTTTTCCTCAGTTGGCTGACAGCGTTCATGCAAGATGTCTCGAAAGTGTGTAAACAATCCAGATCAGTTTTGTTACGTGTGTGGTGATGAGACTTTTGCGTCTCAGAGACGGTCTATTATTCCACTAATAACAAAGGCATATCAGCTTTATTTCGGTTTCAATATGGAGAATAACTTGGTTTTCTGCAGTAACATTAACGGCTTACTGGTGGCTTTAAATATAAACTATAACCCAGAAGAATGGAGATTGTTTATAGACAGTTCAACATTGAGTTTAAAGGCAGTGTTATTGCATATTGGAAATATTTTACCATCTCTTCCTGTAGGGTATGCAGTTCACATGAAAGAATCATATGACAATATGAAGTACCTATTGACATGCATACAATACGATGAGCACCAATGGCATATTTGTGGCGATTTGAAAGTTGTTGCACTTTTACTTGGGCTGCAGCTAGGCTACACAAAGTTTTGCTGTTTTTTGTGTGAATGGGACAGTCGGGCAAAGGCACTTCATTACACCAGACAAAACTGGCCTATTCGTCAATTCCTAGAGCCAGGTCAAAAAAATGTACAGCATATGCCATTAGTAGATTCGAAAAAAATGTATTACCACCACTGCATATCAAGTTGGGCCTAATGAAAAACTTTGTCAAGGCATTAGATAGAGATGGGTCAGCTTTTCAATACCTGCGTCAGAAATTTCCAAGACTAAGTGAGGCAAAGGTTAAAGAAGGTATTTTTGTTGGGCCACAGATTCGAAATATTTTGAAAGATACACAGTTTGAAAACATTTTAACAGGTATTGAAAAAACTGCTTGGAATGATTTCCGTCTGGTGGTCACTTAATTTCTTGGGAAATAGAAAAGCTGACAACTATAAAACCCTTGTCAAAAATATGCTGTCATCGTATCAAAAGATGGGCTGTAATATGTCTCTTAAGATACATTT